AAATATCACATTTACATACAGAACCAGTCAAACGTTTGGACACACCTACTCATTCAAGGGTTTTCCTTTATTTTTTAACTATTTTTTACATTGTAGAATAATAGTGAAGACATCAGAACTATGAAATAACACATATGGAATCATGTAGTAACCAAAAAAGTGTTAAACAAATTGAGATTCTTCAAAGTAGCCACCCTTTGCCTTGATGACAGCTTTGCACACTCTTGGCATTCTCTCAACCAGCTTCAACTGGAATGCTTTTTCAACAGTCTTGAAGGAGTTCCCACATATGCTGAGCACTTGTTGGCATCTTTTCCTTCACTCTGCGGTCCAACTCATCCCAAACCATCTCAATTGGGTTGAGGTCGGTGATTGTCGAGGCCAGGTCATCTGATGCAGCACTCCATCACTCTCCTTCTTGGTAAAATAGCCCTTACACAGCCTGGAGGTGTGTTGGGTCATTGTCCTGTTGGAAAACAAATGATAGTCCCACTAAGCACAAACCAGATGGGATGGCGTATCGCTGCAGAATGCTGTGGTAGCCATGCTGGTTAAGTGTGCCTTGAATTCTAAATAAATCACTGACAGTGTCACCAGCAAAGCACCCCCACACCATCACACCTCCTCCTCCATGCTTCATGGTGTGAACCACACATGCAGAGATCATCCGTTTGTCACATCAGCCTTCGCTTTGGCTCCCCCTCCTGTCCAGCTCAGGTGTTCGGCGTCGCAGGCCTTCTAGCTGCTGCCGAACCTGCTGTTGGCAAACGCCCTTCACTCATCAACCCCGGACTCATCTCATCATCATTACACACACCTGGTTCCAATCCCCACTCTATCACTGTACATATACTCCCTCTGTCATTTGTCTTTGTCGGTCATTGTATTTGTTGCTTGTTTTCCTGAGACGTATCTCTCCTACTATTTCCTGAGTACTTTATATTTTGCACTGTGGGCTTTGTCCCGCTTTAAGCTATGGTGCTTTAATAAATTCATTAGCTCTAAACCTGCGACTGCTTCCTGCCTACTCCTCTCTACACTTGTGACACCGTTCACCTACTCTGCGTCTGACAAAGACACGGCGGTTGGAACCAAAAATCTCAAACTCGTGTTTCTTGGCCCAAGCAAGTCTCTTCTTCTTATTGGTGTCCTTTAGTAGTCGTTTCTTTGCAGCAATTTGACCATGAAGGCCTGATTCACGCAGTCTCCTCTGAACAGTTGATGTTGAGATGTGTCTCTTACTTGAACTCTGTGAAGCATTTATTTGGGCTGCAATTTCTGAGGCTGTTAACTCTAATGAACTTATCCTCTGCAGCAGAGGTAACTCTGGGTCTTCCATTCCTGTGGCGGTCCTCATGAGAGCCAGTTTCATCATAGCGCTTGATGGTTTTTGCAACTGCACTTGAAGAAACTTTAAACGTTCTTGAAATGTTTCAGATTGACTGACCTTCATGTCTTAAAGTAATGATGGAATATCGTTTCTCTTTGCTTATTTGAGCTGTTCTTGCCATAATATGGACTTGGTCTTTTACCAAATAGGATTATCTTCTGTATACCACCCCTACCTTGTCACAACACAACTGATTGGCTCAAACGCATTAAAAAGGAAAGAAATTCCACAAATTAACTTTTAACTAGGCACACCTGTTAATTGAAATGCATTCCAGGTGACTACCTCATGAAGCTGGCTGAGAGAATGCCAAGAGTGTGCAAAGCTGTCATCAAAGAAATCGTGGCTACTTTGAAGAATCTCAAATATAAAATATATTTTGATTTGTTTAACACTTTTTTGGTTACTACATGATTCCATATGTGTTATTTCATAGTTTTGATGTCTTCACTATTATTCTACAATGTAGAAAATAGTAAAAATAAAGAAAAACCCTTGAATCAGTAGGTGTGTCTAAACTTTTGACTGGTACTGTAAGTATTCAGACCCTTTGCTATGAGACTCGAAATTGAGCTCAAGGCCATCCTGTTTCCATTGATCATCCTTGAGATTTTTCTACAACTTGATTGGAGTCCACCTGTGCTAAATTCAATTGATTGGACATGATTTGGAAAGGCACACACCTGTCTATATAAGGTCCCACAGTTAACAGTGCATGTCAGAGCAAAACCAAGCCATGAGGTCAAAGGAATTGTCCGTAGAGCTCAGAGACAGGATTGTATCGAGGCACAGATCTGGGGAAGGGTACCAAAAAAATTATGCTGCATTGAGGGTCCCCAAGAACACAGTGGCCTCCATCATTCTCAAATGGAAGAAGTTTGGAACCACCAAGACTCTTCCTAGAGCTGGCCGCCCGGCCAAACTGAGCAATCGGGGGAGAAGGGCCTTGGTCAGGGAGGTGACCAAGAACCCGATGGTCACCCTGACAGAGCTCAAGAATTCCTCCGGGGAGATGGGAGAACCTTCCAGAAGGACAACCCTCTCTGCAGCACTCCACCAATCAGGCCTTTATGGTAGCGTGGCCAGATGGAAGCCCTCCTCAGTAAAAGGCACATGACAGCCCGCTTGGAGTTTGCCAAAAGGCACCTAAAGGACTCAGACCATGAGAAACAAGATTCTCTGGTCTGATGAAACCAAGATTGAACTCTTTGGCCTGAATGCCAAGCGTCACATCTGGAGGAAACCTGGCACCATCCCTACGGTGAAGCATGGTGGTGGCAGCATCATGCTGTGGGGATGTTTTTCAGCGGCAGGGACTGGGAGACTAGTCAGGATCAAGGGAAAGATGAACGGAGCAAAGTAGAGAGAGATCCTTAATGAAAACCTGCTCCAGAGCGCTCAGGACCTCAGACTGGGGGCGAACGTTCACTTTCCAACAGGACAAGACCCTAAGCACACAGCCAAGACAATGCAGGAGTGGCATCGGGACAAGTCTCTGAATGTCCTTGGGACAATTTAAACCATTTTAGAATATGGCTGTAACGTAACAAAATGTGCAAAAATGTAAGGGGTCTGAATACTTTCGGAATGCACTGTAGAGCAAACAACGCAATTATCACAACACATAGGTTGTAATATGGCTTTTTTTCTGGCTTCCCCAGTGATTTTACCCACTGTCACAGGGTGGTGAAAGTGCAAGGTGATGAGCTTGATGCTCCTTTCCAATAAATATCGAGGTCTTATTCTGGTGACATGATCATCGATGCTTGGCTGCCTTTTGACAAATAAAAATAATCTTGCTTATTATGTCCATAATAATCTCATAATGTAGACCCGTGGTTCCCAACCTTTTTTTTGGTTACTGTACCACCAACAGTATTTTGACTGCCCGGAGTACCACTGAAGTATCCCTCATGTGCATTTTACCAGTAAGCCTACTGTCTCATGAGTCTTCTCAAGTACCCCCTGTGGATAGGCTAAGTACCCCTGGTTGGGAACCACTGATGTAGGCTATATGTGTGCTCAAGCAAACAGCACGCGCCCTCTGCGCTGTTGGCTAGAGTGCACGTGCCAATACCAGAGTGGGCACACTCGCTATATAACGTATTTGTTTTTGTGAAGAAAATGCGATGGAAACCTATTTAACTTGTATTTTTTATTCGGTACATGGGAATTGAACCGCAAAAGCTATTTCTATGTGCACCACGTCATCATCCACAGGCTTTTATCTGCAACAAGTCAATTTGATATAAACACATCTTTGGTGGGAAAATGCACATATTGTTTAATGCGGCTTTTAGAATATTCGAATGAAAATCTGTCGCCAATTGGATGGAAACCTAGCTACAGACTGACCAGGTGAATCCAGGTGAAAGCTATGATCCTTTATTGATGTCACCTGTTAAATCGACTTAAATCAGTGTAGAATAGATGAAGAGGAAGAGACTGGTTAAAGAAGGATTTTTATGCATTGAGACAATTGAGACATGGATTGTGTACGTGTGCCATTCAAAGGGTGAATGAGCAAGACAAAATATTTAAGTGCCTTTAAACGGGGTATGGTAGTAGGTGCCAGGCGCTGGTTTGAGTGTGTCAAGAACTGCAACACTGCTGGGTTTTTCACACTCAACAGTTTCCTGTGTATAAAGAATGGTCCACCACTCAAAGGACACCCAGCCAACTTGACACAACTGTGGGAAGTTTTGGAATCAACATGGGCCAGCATCCCAGTGGAACGCTTTCGACACTTTGTAAAGCCAATGCGCCGACAAATCGAGTCTGTTCTGAGGACAAAGGGGGTGCAACTCATTAGGAAGGTGTTCCTAATGGTTTGTACACTCAGTGTACATTTGAAGTGAATTTGAAGGTATTTTGCATTTGTCGTGGCAACTAGAGCTGATCAAAGTTCAAACAAAACTACATTTACATTGTGCATTAATAATATGCACTTCAAGGGTCAGTCATTCCCAACAAATGATACAAAGTAAAACATTACAAATTCACAAACTTCCAAAAATGTAATCTTCTAACCTAAATCTAAACTTAAACCTATCCCTTTCAAGCATTCAGTCAGGGATGTGCAGTAAAGTGGTTTTGTTATAGCATCCAGATACTGAAACAAAAGTTACAGCTTATATTGAATTGGGACCCTCATTACATTTGTACAACTCAGTTCGCAATACCAAAGAGAATACAAATAGCTTATCACACTTTTCTGTCAAGCTCTGATTGGCGAGGGCTTTCTGTGGCAGCTGGCCCCTGTCTATACCCCAGTCCTACATTGAGTGGTTGTTCATTTTCCAAGTAGTCTTTGAAAGAGACTGATTGATGATGGCCTCTTTCAAGCTTGCACTCCTTGTCTTAATTGCTTACCAGACCACAGGTATGCTATACAATTGCACACTGTTTAGGTTAATGCTATAACATATGAATATGATGTTATAGTATTTTTTATTAAATGTACATAATTTTTTTACTAAACATGTAATTAAAATATATAATCTTGTTCATGAGACATTTAGAACCACAAATGGAAACACGTGTTCAATGGAGACACATTTTTATAACAGAAAAAATATACAATTGTTCATCTTTTTATCTTTCCACAGCTCTGGCGAGGGTTGTCGGTGAGGAGGGAACACAAAACGCCTGGGACAAGCTGAAAGTAAGAACTATTGTTCTTTTGAAAACAATGATTCATCCCTTTAACCCACAAAATACCAGTATATGCGACCCTGTGCTGCATAATAACAACCAACTGGCAGGATTTAAAAAGCAAAAAATATATAGAGAGAAAATATAGAAATATAAATGTGTTTTACTAAGAGAAAATGACCAGATAATGTGCTCCATAATCAATATCATTACTACAGTATATGAATCAAATAAAGTATACTTATCAATAGGATTATTAATCAGATTAGTTCCCAGGGGTTCACAAACTTTTTTGTCTCATGACCCCATTTTGATTAATATTTTTTTCGTGATCTCACCATGTAAACAAAAGGTGATGTAATCAACGGCCAATGTTTATTTACTATTTTAATTGAGGGCTATGACAGTCTATTACAAATCAGTCTGACAGTTCTTTTGACAATATTTCACTTATAATTCACTGTATCACATTTCCAGTGGGTCAGAAGTTAACATACACTAAGTTGACTGTGCCTTTAAACAGCTTGGAAAATTCCAGAAAATTATGTCATGGCTTTAGAAGCTTCTGATAGGCTAATTGACATCATTTGAGTCAATTGGAGGTGTACCTGTGGATGTATTTCAAGGCCTACCTTCAAACTCAGTGCCTATTTGCTTGACATCATGGGAAAATAAAAACAAATCAGCCAAGACCTCAGAAAAGAAATTGTAGACCTCCACAAGTCTGGTTCATCCTTGGGAGCAATTTCCAAACGCGTGAAGGTACCACGTTCATCTGTACACAAGTATAAACACCATGGGACCACGCAGCTGTCATACCGCTCAGGAAGGAGACACGTTCTGTCTCCTAGAGATTAATGTACTTTGGTGCAAAAAGTGCAAATCAATCCCAGAACAACAGCAAAGGACCTTGTGAAGATGCTGGAGGAAACAGGTACAAAAGTATCTATATCCACAGTAAAACGAGTCCTATATCGACATAACCTGAAAGGCCGCTCAGCAAAGAAGAAGCCACTGCTCCAAAACCGCCATAAAAAAGCCAGACTACGGTTTGCAATTGCACATGGGGACAAAGATCATACTTTTTGGAGAAATGTCCTCTGGTCTGATGAAACAAAAATAGAACTGTTTGGCCATAATGACCATCGTTATGTTTGGAGGAAAAAGGGGGACACTTGCAAGCCGAAGAACACCATCCCAACTGTGAAGAACGGGGTGGCAGCATCATGCTGTGGGGGTGCTTTGCTGCAGAAGGGACTGGTGCACTTCATAAAATAGATGGCATCATGAGGAAGGAAAATTACGTGGATATATTGAAGCAACATCTCAACACATCAGTCAGGAAGTTAAAGCTTGGTCGCAAATGGGTCTTCCAAATGAACAATGACCCCAAGCATACTTCCAAAGTTGTGGCAAAATGGCTTAAGGACAACAAAGTCAAGGTATTGGAGTGGCCATCACAAAGCCCTGACCTCAGTCCTATAGAACATTTGTGTGCAGAACTGAAAAAGCGTGTGCGAGCAAGGAGGCCTACAAACCTGACTCAGTTACACCAGCTCTGTCAGGAGGAATGGGCCAAAATTCACCCAATTTATTGTGGGAAGCTTGTGGAAGGCTACCCGAAACGTTTGACCCAAGTTAAACAATTTAAATGCAATGCTACCAAATACTAATTGAGTGTATGTAAACTTCTGACCCACTGGGAATGTGATGAAAGAAATAAAAGCTGAAATAAATCATTCTCTCTACTATTATTCTGACATTTCACATTCTTAAAATAAAGTGGTGATCCTAACTGACCTAAGACAGGGAATTTTTACTAGGATTAAATGTCAGGAATTGTGAAAAACTGAGTTTAAATATATTTGGCTAAGGTGTATGTAAACTTCCGACTTCAACTATAAATGCCTGGAGCATTTCGATTTAGGAGATTCTTATAAAATGGGTTAAAATCATGTATAGTAACCCTAGGTGTAAAATAGTAATTGGCTATTTCTCTGATAGTTTTAAACTGTCAAGAGGAGTAAAACAAGGTTGTCCACTATCGGCATATCTATTTATTATGGCCATCGAAATGTTAGCTATTAAAATCAGATCCAACAATAATATCAAGGGATTAGAAATCCAGGGCTTAAAAACAAAGGTGTCATTGTACGCTGATGATTCATGATTTCTTTTAAATACACAACTTGAATCCCTCCACAGCCTCTAGATAAATGTTCTAACCTCTCTGGATTACAACCAAATTATGATAAACGTACTATATTATGTATTGGATCACTAAAAAATACAATTTTTACATTACCATGTAGTTTACCAATACAATGGTCTGATGGTGATGTGGATATACTCAGAATACATATCCCAAATGAAATAAATGATCTCACTCCAATAAATGTTAATAGACAGTTAGCAAAAATAGATACGATCTTGGAAAGTTAAATACCTGTCTATTTGTGGAAAAATCACCCTGATTAACTTTTTAGTAATATCCCAGTTTACCTATTTGCTTATGGTCCTGCCTACGCCTAGCGAACAGTTTTTGAAATTATATGAGAAAAAAATATTCCATTTTATTTGGAATGGCAAGCCAGACAAAATTAAACAGGCCTATTTATATAATGAATATGAATTCGGAGGACATAAATTATTCAATATTAAAGCATTAAACCTATCACTAAAAGCTTCAGTCATACAAAAGTTATACTTAAATCCAAACTTGTTCTCTAGCAAATTAGTAAGATTGTCTCACCCCATGTTCAAGAATGGCCTTTTTCCCTTTATTCAGATTACAACCTCTCACTTTCAGTTATTTGAAAAGGAAATAATCTCCCAAATATCACTATTTCTAAAACAAGCCATAGAAAGTTGGTTGCCATTTCAATTTAATCCTCCAGAAACGACAGAACAAATAATGCAACAAATATTGTGGTTAAACTCAAATATACTAATTGATAACAAACCATTATTATTTTAATAAACAAAAAAAAGGTATAATCTTCATAAATGATATAATAGGTAGGACTGGTGGAGTTATGTTGCACATGCAGCTAACAAAAACATATGGAAATGTCTGCTCTACCCAAAATTACAACCAAATAATTGCAGCAATACCGCAAAAATGGAAGAGGAAAGTGGAAGGGGGGAAAAGTAAGGAACTTGTCTGTCGGCCCTGCATTAAAGACCATAATTGGTTAAAGAAAATTGTGACAATTAAAAAAGTATACCAGTTTCATTTAAGGACCAAAGGATTGACAGCCGTCCCATATAGATTGCAAAATAGTTGGGAAGAGATTTCTGACGTACGGATTCCATGGCATAGAGTTTATGAACTGATACGCAAAACGACGCCGGATTCAAAACTTAGAATTGTTCAATTTAAATTATTATACAAAATTCTTGCTACCAATAGAATGTTATTTTTTATGGGGGATACAATCTTCCCAGCTCTGCAGATTTTGCTGACTGTTTGCCCACTGACAAAGAAATTATCAGTCTAAAATTTTTATGGTAGGTTTATTTGAACAGTGAGAGACAGAATAACAACAAAAAAATCTATATATAAATCTATAAAAATATAAATTGATTTGCATTTTAATTAGGGAAATAAGCATTTGACCCCTCTGCAAAACATGACTTAGTACATGGTGGCAAAACCCTTGTTGGCAATCACAGAGGTCAGACGTTTCTTGTAGTTGGCCACCAGGTTTGCGCACATCTCAGGAGGGATATTGTCCCACCCCTCTTTGCAGATCTTTTCCAAGTCATTAAGGTTTCGAGCCTGACATTTGGCAACTCGAACCTTCAGCTCCCTCCACAGATTTTCTATGGGATTAAGGTCTGGAGACTGGCTAGTCCACTCCAGGACCTTAATGTGCTTCTTCTTGAGCCACTCCTTTGTTGTCTTGGCCGTGTGTTTTGGGTCATTGTCATGCTGGAATACCCATCCACGACCCATTTTCAATGCCCTGGCTGAGGGAAGGAGGGTCTCACCCAAGATTTGACGGTACATGGCCCCGTCCATCGTCCCTTTGATGCGGTTGAAGTTGTCCTGTCCCCTTAGCAGAAAAACACCCCCAAAGCATAATGTTTCCACCTCCATGTTTGACGGTGGGGATGGTGTTCTTGGGGTCATAGGCAGCATTCCTCCTCCTCCAAACACGGCGAGTTGAGTTGATGCCAAAGAGCTCCATTTTGGTCTCATCTGACCACAACACTTTCACCCAGTTCTCCTCTGAATCATTCAGATGTTCATTGGCAAACTTCAGACGGCCCTGTATATGTGCTTTCTTGAGCAGGGGGACCTTGCGGACGCTGCAGGATTTCAGTCCTTCACGGCGTAGTGTGTTACCAATTGTTTTCTTGGTGACTATGGTCCCCTCTGCCATGAGCTCATTGACAGGATCCTCCCGTGTAGTTCTGGGCTGATTCCTCACCGTTCTCATGATCATTGAAACTCCATGAGATGAGATCTTGCATGGAGCCCCAGGCCGAGGGAGATTGACTGTTATTTTGTGTTTCTTCCATTTGCGAATAATCGCACCAACTGTTGTCACCTTCTCACCAAGCTGCTTGGCGATGGTCTTGTAGCCCATTCCAGCCTTGTGTAGGTCTAGATTCCTGTCCCTGACATCCTTGGAGAGCTCTTTGGTCTTGGCCATGGTGGAGAGTTTGGAATCTGATTGATTGATTGCTTCTGTGGACAGGTGTCTTTTATACAGGTAACAAGCTGAGATTAGGAGCACTCCCTTTAAGAGCCAGAAATCTTTCTGATTGCAAATCAATTTATAACATTTTTGACATGCGTTTTTCTGGATTTTGTTGTTGTTATTCTGTCTCTCACTGTTCAAATAAACCTACCATTAAAATTATAGACTGATCATTTCTTTGTCGTTACAATCTATCTGCAATATTAAAGCTGATCTACCCCCTAAATTAAAAAAATATATATATTTAAAAATGAAAATTAGTTCTTCCAAACCAATGTCAACAAACTATTTCTGTATGGACCTCACTTTGTGCACGGGACATTGTCATGCTGAAACAGGAAAGAGCCTTCCCCAAACTGTTGCCACAAAGTTGGAAGCACAGAATCGTATAGAATGTCATTGTATGCTGTAGCGTTAATATTTCCCTTCACTGGAACTAAGGGGCCTAGCCCAAACCATGAAAAACAGCCCCACACCATTATTCCTCCTCCACCAAATGTTACAGTTGGCACTCTGCATTGGGGCAGGTAGCATTCTCCTGGCATCCGCCAAACCCAGATTTGTCCGTTGGACTGCCAGATGGTGAAGCGTGATTCATCACTCCAGAGAACGCGTTTCCACTGCTCCAGAGTCCAATGGCGGCGAGCTTTACACCACTCCAGCCGACTCTTGGCATTGCGCATGGTGATCTTAGGCTTGTGTGCGGTTTCTTGGCCATTGAAACCCATTTCATGAAGCTCCCACTTGGTGGCTGAGCCGTTGTTGCCCCTAGACGTTTCCACTTCACAATAACAGCACTTACAGTTGACCGGGGAAGCTCTAGCAGGGCAGAAATTTGACGAACTGACTTGTTGGAAAGGTTACATCCTATGACGATGCCACATTGAAAGTCACTGAGCTCTTCAGTCACTGCTAGTGTTTGTCTATGGAGATTGCATGGCGTTGTGCTCGATTTTATACACCTTTCAGCTCTCTCTCTCCCTCTTGCTTCTCCTGAATGTTGGAATACATTAATTTGTTCAAAACTGTTCAACTATTGTCTTTCTCTCTCTCTGAGTCAACTACTCACCACATTTTATACACTGCAGTGCTATCTAGCTGTAGCTTATGCTTTCAGCACTAGATTCATTCTCTGATCCTTTGATTGGGCGGACAACATGTCAGTTCATGCTGCAAGAGCTCTGATAGTTTGGAGGACGTCCTCCGGAAGATGTCATAATTACTGTGTACGTCTATGGAAGGGGGTGAGAACCAAGAGCCTCCTAGGTTTTGTATTAAAGTCAACGTACCCAGAGGAGGACAGAAGCTAGCTGTCCTCTGGCTACACCATGGTGCTGCTGAGGCTACTGTAGACCTGTGTGTTTTAATAAATTATTTGGTGACGTGAATATATTTATCTAAAAAGGAAAACTTTTTAAATGTTTCACTATTTTTATTTTTATGAAATTCACTGAGGAGGATGGTCCTCCCCTTCCTCCTCTTAGGAGCCTCCACTGACTCTGTTCTAATGAAGCTTGTGGGCATTGTATAGGGAAACAGAAGACACATACATGTTCTTGAGAATGTTATTTTTCAGTGATGGGGTCATACTATTTTGTGTCTTAAACCGTTCAAAAACCATGCAATCATGCAATCTTTGTTATTTTAATTCAGAGTTTCTCGTGAACCCATTTTCAAATCAGGCGACCAACCCCACATAAGGTCGTGGCCCCCAGTTTGGGAAACGCTGTCCTATGCATTCATTATGGAATTCCCTATAAAATTGTTATTACAAATGTATAATAAATGCTCATGTAAATGTTACATCTAAAAGCATCAGTTTCAAGATCAGCCTACTATGCCCCAAGAAAGAGGAAGCTCCATAGCTTCAACCCCCTCCTACCCAACATACACTTAACCTCAATACCCCCACACCCCCAAACCAGGAGTTAAGAACCAAGTCAATTTCACTTCTGTTTTCTTGTAAAACAGTTTTTCAGTCTATAGACTATAGAAGAAAGGTATAAAAGACAGGTTTTGCAACACGAAAGAACAGTTCATAGAAATCCAGCACTGCTTTTCAGGGAGTACCTTCAGGAATAATGTCAACTTCCACTTACAGTACAGTGAGGGAAAAAAGTATTTGATCCCCTGCTGATTTTGTACGTTTGCCCACTGACAAAGAACTGATCAGTCTACAATTTTAATGGTAGGTTTATTTGAACAGTGAGAGACAAAATAACAACAAAGAAATCCAGAAAAACGCATGTCAAAAATGTATTTGACCCCCTCTCAATCAGAAAGATTTCTGGCTCCCAGGTGTCTTTTATACAGGTAACGAGCTGAGATTAGGAGCACACTCTTAAAGGGAGTGCTCCTAATCTCAGCTTGTTACCTGTATAAAAGACACCTGTCCACAGAAGCAATCAATCAATCAGATTCCAAACTCTCCACCATGGCCAAGACCAAAGCGCTCTCCAAGGATGTCAGAGACAGGATTGTAGACCTACACAAGGCTGGAATGGGCTACAAGACCATCGCCAAGCAGCTTGGTGAGAAGGTGACAACAGTTGGTGCGATTATTTGCAAATGGAAGAAACACAAAAGACCTCGTGGAGTTGCAATGATCATGAGAACGGTGAGGAATCATCCCAGAACTACACGGGAGGATCTTGTCAATGATCTCATGGCAGCTGGGACCATAGTCACCAAGAAAACAATTGGTAACACATTACGCCGTGAAGGACTGAAATCCTGCAGCGGCCGCAAGGTCCCCCTGCTCAAGAAAGCACATATACAGGGCCGTCTGAAGTTTGCCAATGAACATCTGAATGATTCAGAGGAGAACTGGGTGAAAGTGTTGTGGTCAGATGAGACCAAAATGGAGCTCTTTGGCATCAACTCAACTCGCCGTGTTTGGAGGAGGAGGAATGCTGCCTATGACCCCAAGAACACCATCCCCACCGTCAAACATGGAGGTGGAAACATTATGCTTTGGGGGTGTTTTTCTGCTAAGGGGACAGGACAACTTCACCGCATCAAAGGGACGATGGACGGGGCCATGTACCGTCAAATCTTGGGTGAGACCCTCCTTCCCTCAGCCAGGGCATTGAAAATGGGTCGTGGATGGGTATTCCAGCATGACAATGACCCAAAACACACGGCCAAGACAACAAAGGAGTGGCTCAAGAAGAAGCACATTAAGGTCCTGGAGTGGACTAGCCAGCCTCCAGACCTTAATCCCATAGAAAATCTGTGGAGGGAGCTGAAGGTTCGAGTTGCCAAATGTCAGGCTCGAAACCTTAATGACTTGGAGAAGATCTGCAAAGAGGAGTGGAACAAAATCCCTCCTGAGATGTGTGCAAACCTGGTGGCCAACTACAAGAAACGTCTGACCTCTGTGATTGCCAACAAGGGTTTTGCCACCAAGTACTAAGTCATGTTTTGCAGAGGGGTCAAATACTTATTTCCCTCATTAAAATGCAAATCGATTTATAACATTTTTCACATGCGTTTTTCTGGATTTTTTTGTTGTTATTCTGTCTCTCACAGTTCAAATAAACCTACCATTAAAATTATAGACTGATCATGTCTTTGTCAGTGGGCAAACGTACAAAATCAGCAGGGGATCAAATACTTTTTTCCCTCACTGTATATACTAGGTAGAATAAATGGATGTCTTTGCCTCAGTATCTCGCCACAGCTTGGAGTTAGCATTCTTCTCTTTCCCTCTCCTCTTCTCAGAAAGGGGACAGCTGCCAGGACTGTACCCAAATAATTGAACTCCTTATGGACATTCTCTCCAACCCGGACATGCAGGTGAATGCATCGACAGAACATGCACCCCTGAACCATACATACCATACATTTGAATCATTAATAAAAACACCCAGAAACATATAACCATCACATAAGTACTACTTGTATGTGCATATGATGCTCGTTCACCTGGGTCAGTTTTTGTTCCTTTTAGTGGTAAGGCTGCAGATAGAGCATACAGCTTTATTTTCCGCAAACCAGGAAAAACAACAAACACTTTCAGTTCCTGAAATGGTTTTCACCTGTTTCTTTCCCACAAACCCTCACTCAACACAAGTTGTACAGTTTGTGTTTCTGTTCTGCATTGCTATTTTGGAGAATTAGAAAGCCACGTCCTGTTTTCTATACAAAAGTAACTATAAAAGCAGTTCACGGTATATTTCTGACTTCCAAGTTCCCCTTTTCTCTGAAGCTGGCCAGGCACTTCGGTCTGTGTAATCTCACCTTTGAATAGTTCATCTTAAACATAATCAGTGGCCCAACAAACCAGTGGTAGGCAAAAAGAAATGTACTTTACTGTAGCTTTTAATACATTCTTTAATTCGTCTTAATGATTGTAAAACACATAATTTACCTCGTGTCTCAAAATGATTTCAACTGATGCCTCCACTCCTCCATCCCCAGACCAAGATCAGGAGCGAACTGGAGAAACTATGTGACCTCATGCCAGGTCCTGCGGCCCCCAAACTGTGCCGGGAACAGGTGGATCAGAACCTCCCCCTGGCCATCACCTTCTTGACTAGCTTCTTCGTAAGTGCTGGTGGGAGGTTGAGAAAGATCCTGGTTTGTAATTTTTGATATAATTCTGACCGAATGAGCCTTAATTGAGCCTCTCTCGTCTCCTACAGAAACCCACTGAGGTGTGCTCCGTGTTGGGACTTTGTGGCTCCCAGTCAGACAGCCAGCAGCAGAGCCTGCTGACCAATCACATTCAAGAGGGTCTGAAGTCAGCCATGACAATGACAAAGGTGAGCCAGAAAGAACAGGACTAATGCAGTCTCTGACCTCTACTCTGCGGCCCACTGACTGTTTGTCTGTCTTTATCTTGTTCTCTTTCTCCCTCTGTTTTTTTTCTGTTTCTGTTTCGTCTACCAGGTGCAGTTCTCGCCAGAATGTACCTTCTGCATTTATCTTATCAAGTCACTGGAGAGTATGCTGCCGAAAATAAGGACTGAGGTAAGGCATGCCATAGAAATATAATTACCGTAGTGCAGGGATCATCAACTAGATTCAGCCACGGGCCGATTTTTTCTTGAGCGAATGGTCGGGGGGCAAATAAAACCACCCGTGGGCCACCAGTTGGTTAAGAGCATTCATAAATTACTTTTATGAACATGTACATGCAAAAAAAATATATAATAATAACCTGCCATTTTCACAACTCTTAGTAAAAAACTCATCAAAATGTGAAACGTATTTCTAGATGATTAAGTTTGGTGAAAAAGTGACTGTATGATTTTGTGTGTTGTACTTAGTCATTTGAAAATGTGCTTAGAGTTTTGAAACAACTGCCTTTTTTATTAGTATTTTACTAAGAGTTGTGAAAATGGCAGGTTTATTTTTTGCATGTAAATTGATTTTATGCTACACAAATATAAATAACATAACATTTTTCTAAACTAATCCAATCTGTTAGTAGTTGGACTTATTGTACCCGTTGCTGAGATGGTTGTTCCAGTTTAGACAGTTAAGGTAGTCTACATTTTTTCGAGCCCTACCTTGGCAGTTCAAATGTTGGATATCCTCAATCTGGCTGGAATTCAATAGGATTTACACATCACTTTGCAAGCCAGAATAATGTGATGTAGCCAACTAATAAGCTAGTAAACTGCTAGAGTAACATTCAAATTCCAAAATACACGGTATCAGTGAACACCATAGCAGTGTACCTTTCACACTGAGATAATGTAACATTTTAATGCCACTGGTGTTAAAAACTATCAGTTGGAACACACTCAAAAGTGTTGTCATCACCCAATATAGCGTTCAATATCTACACCGCTGGTGTTAGAAAATAGACATTGTGACAATGTTAAAAGGGAAACACTTTGAAAAGTCTTTATAAAAACAAATTCTGGTGGCTCTCATATAAACACTTCAAAAGCATTATATTGTATACCCACAGTATTCAGTTTACCAATCAGAGTTTGCTGTGCACTAACGCACACATTCACATTTTAGCAGACGCTCTTATCCAGAGCAACATACTGGAGCAATTAGGGTTAAGTGCCTTGCTCAAGGGCACATTGACACATTTTTCACCTAGTCGGCGCAGGGATTTGAACGCTCTTAACCGCTAGGCTACCTGCCGCCCTACAAGCACTCTCACACACACACACACACACACACACAAAATCCTTTTCCCAATGCCCTGTATGTGTTTCCCCTCCCAGATGGCTGTGATTGATCTGCTGGGGAAGGTGTGTGGCATTCTACCCACGTCCTACAGGAAGCAGTGTGAGAACCTGATAGAGAAGTATGGTAAGATGCTGATGGACATGCTCCTGACCTACGCCACCCCTGAGGTCATCTGCACCCTCATCGAAGCCTGTCATGGCATGGAGACGCCTGTTCTGGGTGAGTTCATGACCACTTCATCGTTCATCCCTCCTGCCCTGCCTTGCACCACCACCATATAATCACTTTTCTCTCTATCCATTTCCTCTTCTATTTTATCCTGTTTTGAAATGTCTCCCTCTTTCTCTCCCTCTCAGAGAATGCTCCTCTGTCTGACTGTGACTCCTGTCTGACCCTGGCGGTTCTGACTCGTCTACAGCTGGGCTCCAATGCTTCAGAGCCCCAGACCTCCTCCTTCCTGGCCTCTGTCTGCCAGCTCCACCCCAACGCCCTGCCCAAGGTCAGCCCTGCTACCTGGTCTACATTTAACCTCAGAGCCTTATAGATGCCTCTGGGCTCATGTCTTATTTCTCTTTTCAGTGTGATGGCTTTACCCAGCGCCACGGGCACCAGCTGAAGGGGGTTCTGGGTAAACCAGAGTCTGCCCTTGATGTGTGTGAGGTATGTCATGTTTAGATTCACTCGACTAAACACACTGTAACATAACATGAAAGTCACTTAAATCCAAGTTTCTATGGGCTGGGTGGGGATGTACTTTAAGTGGCTGTAACTTGAATAATTTGTTTATCAGAGAGTGGGCTTGTGTGGGGGAGTGAGAGAGGCAGGAGAACAGGGAGGGGACCCATGCACTCTAGGCACCAGCTACAGTTGCAGAGACCGCAAGACTGCCCTGGAATGCGGGGTATGGCCACCGAACACACCAACAAAGTTTTATTTTATTTTACCTTTATTTTAGCAGGGAGTCCCATTGAGACTAATGTCTCTTGAGACAAAGGGAGCCCTGCATCACACAATACATCAAGAAAATACAAAAAAAGTATAGTACACATTTCATAACAGAACAAAGGTGTTTAAATCTTGGCATGTCATTTGTCTTATATAGATGGTGTCCTTCTGCCAGATGTTTGCGTGGAAGTAAGAACCTTTGCCCAGCATCTACTCTCAAAGTGGACGGTAAGTTGACTCTTGATGTACATACAGCGCCTATCATAAGTATTCACCCCCCTTGGATTTTTTCACATTTGTTGCATTACAATGTGGGATTGAAATGGATTTAACTATGACATTTTGTCATTGATCTACACAAAATACTCCATAATGTCAAGGTGATAAAAAAATTCTGTCCATTTTTACAAATGTATACAAATTAAATAACTAAAATACAGTTGTTGCGTAAGTATTCACCCCCTTTGTTTTGGCAAGCCTAAATTAGTTCAAGAGTACAAATTGGCCTAACAAATCACATGAATTAATAGGGGTTGACATGATTTTTGAATTATGACCCACTGGGCACACACACTGATTGAATTGTTGTTGTTTCAACGTAATTTGTCAACTTATTGTGACGTAGAATCAACATGGAAATACATTGGATTTGAAAAGAGTCATCAACCAGTAGGGCGAGAGTGGGGTAAATTGAGGGAAAGGGTTAGTTAAGCCACCCCTTGTTTCTAGGAAACCATATACAAAATGTGTAATTTGACCAAATATTTAGGAAGAGATTATCATTCATCCACTGTTGATTGGATATTTGGAAGTTTAGAAGTAGTTAGTGATATTAAGGATATTTTATTTTTATGAAGGATGGTGGGTTGATCTACAAGTTATTAATATGTTGGATTCACATCTCCATCACAACCAAAATTCTAAGTTGAAGAATAGGACTAAATCAAATAAAACTTTATTTGAAGTGCATTTAAGTTGGATTTGATTTAGTGCTATTCATTAACTGAGATTTTTGGTTGAGATGGAGACGTAAATCCAACATATCAATCATTAATTTGTAGACAAACTGGATATTGAATTGTGAACACAACCGAATATCAACATTTGAGGAGATGTATCTTCTGCTTGAATAGTGTATATATATATATATATATATATATATATATATATATATATATATATATATATATATATACTCTGCTCAAAAAAATAAATGGAACACTTAAACAACACAATGTAACTCCAAGTCAATCACACTTCTGTGAAATCAAACTGTCCACTTAGGAAGCAACACTGATTGACAATACATTTCACATTCTGTTGTGCAAATGGAATAGACAACAGGTGGAAATTATAGGCAATTAGCAAGACACCCCCAATAAAGGACTGGTTTTGCAGGTGGTGACCACAGACCACTTCTCAGTTCCTATGCTTCCTGGCTGATGTTTTGGTCACTTTTGAATGCTGGCGGTGCTTTCACTCTAGTGGTAGCATGAGACGGAGTCTACAACCCACACAAGTGGCTCAGGTAGTGCAGCTCATCCAGGATGGCACATCAATGCGAGCTGTGGCAAGAAGGTTTGCTGTGTCTGTCAGCGTAGTGTCCAGAGCATGGAGGCGCTACCAGGAGACAGGCCAGTACATCAGGAGACGTGGAGGAGGCCGTAGGAGGGCAACAACCCAGCAGCAGGACTGCTACCTCCGCCTTTGTGCAAGGAGGATCAGGAGGAGCACTGGCCAGAGCCCTGCAAATATAATAATAATAAGCCATTTAGCAGACGCTTTTATCCAAAGCGACTTACAGTCATGCTTACATACATTTTTTGTGTATGGGTGGTTCCCGGGGATCGAACCCACTACCCTTGGCGTTACAAAGCGCCGTGCTCTACCCACTGAGCTACAGAGAGGACACTGACCTCCAGCAGGCCACAAATGTCTGCTCAACGTCAGAAACAGACTCCATGAGGGTGGTATGAGGGCCCGACGTCCACAGGTGGGGGTTGTGCTTACAGCCCAACACCGTGCAGGACGTTTGGCATTTGCCAGAGAACACCAAGATTGGCAAATTCGCCACTGGCGCCCTGTGCTCTTCACAGATGAAAACAGGTTCACACTGAGCACAATGTGACAGAGTCTGGAGACCGCCGTGGAGAACGTTTCTGCTGCCTGCACACATCCTCCACATGACCGGTTTGGCGGTGGGTCAGTCATGGTGTGGGGTGGCATTTCTTTGGGGGGGCCGCACAGCCCTCCATGTGCTCGCCAGAGGTAGCCTGACTGCCATTAGGTACCGAATGAGATCCTCAGACCCTTGTGAGACATATGCTGGTGCGGTTGGCCCTGGGTTCCTCCTAATGCAAGACAATGCTAGACCTCATGTGGCTGGAGTGTGTCAGCAGTTCCTGCAAGAGGAAGGCATTGATGCTATGGACTGGCCCGCCCGTTCCCCAGACCTGAATCCAATTGAGCACATCTGGGACATCATGTCTCGCTCCATCCACCAACGCTACGTTGCACCACAGACTGTCCAGGAGTTGGCGGATGCTTTAGTCCAGGTCTGGGAGGAGATCCCTCAGGAGACCATCCGCCACCTCATCAGGAGCATGCCCAGGCGTTGTAGGGAGGTCATACAGGCACGTGGAGGCCACACACACTACTGAGCCTCATTTTGACTTGTTTTAAGGACATTACATCAAAGTTGGATCAGCCTGTAGTGTGGTTTTCCACTTTAATTTTGAGGGTGACTCCAAATCCAGACCTCCATGGGTTGATACATTTTATTTCCATTGATAATTTTTGTGTGATTTTGTTGTCAGCACATTCAACTATGTAAAGAAAAAAGTATTTAATAAGATTATTTAATTCATTCAGATCTAGGATGTGTTATTTTAGTGTTCCCTTTATTTTTTTGAGCAGTGTATATATACATACACACACTACCGTTCAAAGGTTTGGGGTCACTTAGAAATGTCCTTGTTTTCGAAAGAAAAGCAATTTTTTTGTCCATTAAAATAACATCAAATTGATCAGAAATACTGTGTAGACATTGTTAATGTTGTAAATGGCTATTGTAGCTGGAAATTGCTGATTTTTTATGGAATATCTACATAGGCATACAGAGGCCCATTATCAGCAACCATCAGTCCTGTGTTCCAATGGAATGTTGTGTTTGCTAATCCAAGTTTATCATTTTAAAAGGCTAATTGATCATTAGAAAACCCTTTTACAATTATGTTAGCACAGCCGAAAACTGTTGTGCTGATTAAAGAATCAATAAAACTGACATTGAGACCGGTGTTTTGCGGGTACTATTTAATGAAGCTGCCAGTTGACGACCTTTGAGGCGTCTGTTTCTCAAACTAGACACTAATGTATTTGTCCTCTTGCTCAGTTGTGCACCGGGGCCTCCCACTCCTCTTTCTATTCTGGTTAGAGCCAGTTTGCGCTGTTCTGTGAAGGGAGTAGTACACAGCGTTGTACGAGATCTTCAGTTTCTTGGCAATTTCTCACATGGAATAGCCTTCATTTCTCAGAACAAGAATAGACTGACGAGTTTCAGAAGAAAGTTCTTTGTTTCTGGCCATTTTGATCCTGTAATCGAACCCACAATTGCTGATGCTCCAGATACTCAATTAGTCTCAAGAAGGCCAGTTTTATTGCTTCTTTAATCAGCACAACAGTTTTCAGCTGTGCTAACATAATTGCAAAAGTGTTTTCTAATGATCAATGAGCCTTTTAAAATGATAAACTTGGATTAGCAAACACAACGTGCCATTGGAACACAGGACTGATGGTTGCTGATAATGGGCCTCTGTACACCTATGTAGATATTCCATAAAAAATCAGTCGTTTCCAGCTGTGGATTAAATTGTATCACAAGCACATACAGGTAACTGCCAAAATAAAGGAAACACCAACATAAAGTGTCTTAATAGGGTGTTGGGCCACCACGAGCTGCCAGAACAGCTTCAATGTGCCTTGGCATAGATTCTACAAGTGGACCTAAACCATGCCAGGAAAATGCACCCCACACCACATACTTTGTATCCCTAATTTACTCAACTGTTTTCTTTCTTTTGGCAGTTACCGGTATGCCTACAATTTGGGCAGAATGCTCCCCAAATATACAGTGGGGAAAAAAAGTATTTAGTCAGCCACCAATTGTGCAAGTTCTCCCACTTAAAAAGATGAGAGAGGCCTGTAATTTTCATCATAGGTACACGTCAACTATGACAGACAAAATGAGAAAAAAAAATCCAGAAAATCACATTGTAGGATTTTTTATGAATTTATTTGCAAATTATGGTGGAAAATAAGTATTTGGTCAATAACAAAAGTTTCTCAATACTTTGTTATATACCCTTTGTTGGCAATGACACAGGTCAAACGTTTTCTGTAAGTCTTCACAAGGTTTTCACACACTATTTTGGCCCATTCCTCCATGCAGATCTCCTCTAGAGCAGTGATGTTTTGGGGCTGTCGCTGGGCAACACAGATTTTCAACTCCCTCCAAAGATTTTCTATGGGGTTGAGATCTGGAGACTGGCTAGGCCACTCCAGGACCTTGAAATGCTTCTTACGAAGCCACTCCTTCGTTGCCTGGTCGGTGTGTTTGGGATCATTGTCATGCTGAAAGACCCAGCCACGTTTCATCTTCAATGCCCTTGCTGATGGAAGGAGGTTTTCACTCAAAATCTCACGATACATGGCCCCATTCATTCTTTCCTTTACACGGATCAGTCGTCCTGGTCCCTTTGCAGAAAAACAGCCCCAAAGCATGATGTTTACACCCCCATGCTTCACAGTAGGTATGGTGTTCTTTGGATGCAACTCAGCATTCTTTGTCCTCCAAACACGACGAGTTGAGTTTTTACCAAAAAGTTCTATTTTGGTTTCATCTGACCATATGACATGCTCCCAATCCTCTTCTGGATCATCCAAAGCACTCTAGCAACTTCAGACGGGCCTGGACATGTACTGGCTTTTCAGCGTGCAAAAAATTTAAAAAAGGTTTTTTCTAATGATCAAGACCCTTTTTAAAATGAAAAATTGGTTAGCAAACACAACGGCCATTGGAACACAGGACTGATGGTTGCTGAAATGGGCCCGTACACCTACAGGGGGGAAAAAAAAAATTTTTAGTCACCACCTTGTGCAAGTTCCCCCCCTAAAAGATGAGAGAGGTCTGTAATTTTCATTCATGGTACAACGTCAACTATGACAGACAAATTGAGAATTTGTTTTCCAGAAAATCACATTGTAGGATTTTTTATGAATTTATTTGAAAATTATGGGGGAAAAATAAGTATTTGGTCACCTACAAACAAGCAAGATTTCTGGCTCTCACAGACCTGTAACTCTTCTTTAAGAGGCTCCTCTGTCCTCCACTCGTTACCTGTATTAATGGCACCTGTTTGAACTTGTTATCAGTATAAAAGACACCTGTCCACAACCTCAAACAGTCACACTCCAAACTCCACTATGGCCAAGACCAAAGAGCTGTCAAAGGACACCAGAAACACAATTGTAGACCTGCACCAGGCTGGGAAGACTGAATCTGCAATAGGTAAGCAGCTTGGTTTGAAGAAATCAACTGTGGGAGAAATTATTAGGAAATGGAAGACATACAAGACCACTGATAATCTCCCTCGATCTGGGGCTCCACGCAAGATCTCACCCCGTGGGGTCAAAATGATCACAAGAACGGTGAGCAAAAATCCCAGAACCACACGGGGGGACCTAGTGAATGACCTGCAGAGAGCTGGGACCAAAGTAACAAAGCCTACCATCAGTAACACACTACGCCGCCAGGGACTCAAATCCTGCAGTGCCAGACGTGTCCCCCTGCTTAAGCCAGTGCATGTCCAGGCCCGTCTGAAGTTTGCTAGAGTGCATTTGGATGATGCAGAAGAGGATTGGGAGAATGTCATATGGTCAGATAAAACCAAAATATAACTTTTTGGTAAAAACTCAACTCGTCGTGTTTGGAGGACAAAGAATGCTGAGTTGCATCCAAAGAACACCATACCTACTGTGAAGCATGGGGGTGGAAACATCATGCTTTGGGGCTGTTTTTCTGCAAAGGGACCAGTACGACTGATCCGTGTAGAGGAAAGAATGAATGGGGCCATGTATCGTGAGATTTTGAGTGAAAACCTCCTTCCATCAGCAAGGGCATTGAAGATGAAACGTGGCTGGGTTCTTTCAGCATGACAATGATCCCAAACACACCGCCCGGGCAACGAAGGAGTGGCTTCGTAAGAAGCATTTCAAGGTCCTGGAGTGGCCTAGCCAGTCTCCAGATCTCAACCCCATAGAAAATCTTTGGAGGGAGTTGAAAGTCCGTGTTGCCCAGCAACAGCCCCAAAACATCACTGCTCCAGAGGAGATCTGCATGGAGGAATGGGCCAAATTACCAGCAACAGTGTGTGAAAACCTTGTGAAGACTTACAGAAAACGTTTGACCTGTGTCATTGCTAACAAAGGGTATATAACAAAGTATTGAGAAACTTTTGTTATTGACCAAATACTTATTTTCCACCATAATTTGCAAATAAATTCATTAGAAATCCTACAATGTGATTTTATTTTCTCATTTTGTCCGTCATAGTTGACGTGTACCTATGAGGAAAATTACAGGCCTCTCTCATCTTTTTAAGTGGGAAAACTTGCACAATTGGTGGCTGACTAAATACTTTTTTTCCCCACTGTATGTAGATATTCAATAAAAAATCAGTCGTTTCCAGCTGTGGGTTTAATTGTATCACAAGCACATAGAGGTAACTGCCAAAATAAAGGAAACACCAACATAAAGTGTCTTAATAGGGTGTTGGGCCACCACGAGCTGCCAGAACAGCTTCAATGTGCCTTGGCATAGATTCTACAAGTGGACCTAAACCATGCCAGGAAAATGCACCCCACACCATATACTTTGTATCCCTAATTTACTCAACTGTTTTCTTTATTTTGGCAGTTACCGGTATGCCTACAATTTGGGCAGAATGCTCCCCAAATATAGAACAGTTTGTTGCATTGTGGCCATAGACATATAATCCATAGAAGGGTTTTGAAACCTCTTACCCTAGAAATTTGACTGTTAAACTCATGGCTACACTAGAAATGGCTGCCAGCCCTGACTGGAATGGGAACTGCCATCTATGGATTATATTTCTATGGTTGGCTGTCAGTTTGCCTTTTGCAAATTTCAAAATACAATCGAAGGAAAAACATAGTTTGGAAAGCAAATGCCTAGTCTACTACTGAAAAGAGAAGCCTAACCTGTCTGTAGAACCAATAAAAATAAATATTGAGCGAACAGCATCACTGTTTTTTAAAGTAGCTTATCTTGAGATATGCTATTGCCACGACCAGCCATTAGCCATCACCGGTGAGTACTAGCCTAGGCTTCATCTTCATCATTGGGTGAGTCAGTGTGCCACTGGAAAGTTTATTTCGTAGCCAACTGTAGCCTATAATATACTGTAGATTTCACCTGGATTCAGCTGGTCAGTCTATGTCATGGAAAGAGCAGGTGTTGTTCATGTTTTGTATACTCAGTGTATTTCCTCCTAATATTGTAGGCTACAATGAATCTGTGTGGTGCTTCATTGGCCTGGGCTGTTTGAATTCAAGGCCAGATCGTTTTTATTGATCTGTTTGTCAGTGTCAGAGTAGCCACTCATTTCGGTCATTTGTTTGGCATTAAAAAAATATTATGCTAATGTCTTATGTCATGTAAATGAAAAGGCACATTTTCCAAAACCCTGCAACAACAACAAAAATCCCCATTTATGGCAATCTACTCAACTGTAGCCTATGCTTTATTATAAAGGGGCTTTTTCTTCAACAGTACATTTATCGAATTGCATCTTTGTGCACAGATTTGTTTACAGAAAATTAGGGTGTGTCAGGAAGGGGGTTATAAAAAACAAAGTCACAAAGCCTACGATTTATTAATCCAACCCTGTTAACACAAATGTGAATAAATCCAAGGGAGGGTAATACTTATGATAGGCAAGCTATTTAGGTTTCAGAGAACTGGTTGTCACACACACGACTCAGGTTGTAAATAATTGTGCCCACTCTTTTCAGATTGATAATCCAAGACTTGAGAGAGCCTGCGGCCTTTGCTACATCAAATTGCAAATATACCATTTACTGTGTCAATATTTTTCTATATGATAATACTTCCTTCACACATGAACATTGCGCTGAATATTTTGCCAATGGATATGATTTTATAAAACTGTTCTGTACTTTTACTTGCGGGCAGCACACAAGAGTCAGTATGAACTCTACAGAACAAATCAATGCATTCCTGGGTGCGTGGGATTAAGACAACATGATAAAGACATTGACACCATTTATAGACATTCATTATATTAGCTGTAAAGGTGGCTAAATGTACTGGGGAAATGATCAGATTAGCTTGCTTGCGATTGTAGCTTTACATGTGGTCTCATATTCCTTCTCATATGAATATTAGTTGTGTTCTTCACGCTCATTTGGTTACTGACACTGCCATTATCAAAATAAAATAAGTTATTTTCCAGTGACTGACCCTTTAATGTAAATCATTTCTACATAGGGGAGCAATGGTGTAGTGAAATTCCAAACATTGTACATTACATTGTGTCCTCATTAGGGACATGATAGTCTACCCCTCCCAATTAATGCATTTCTGTTTCAGTACCATTGGAGGTTAGTGCTGCAAGAGTTGCATAGAGGATAATAAAATAAATTGCGTACAGAACATCAGGGTAGACTTTTATTCAAAGATTTCACATGGAGCATTTCAAGTCTTTCGGAAATTGAACATTTGAGCCAAGGGGAGGGGTATGTAAGCATCAAGAGAGCATCACAGGTGAGGGGTTGGAGATTGTAGCAGGTGTAGGCAGGGTGTGGGTGGGGAGGGAGGTAAAAACATTTTAAAAGGCACTTTTACACCTTCAGTAACCAGATTGACAGCCTCACCACCGATTAAAACAAAACCCAAAAAAAAATGTAGAGAAAGCAAATGATGCAGTCTGCACAGACCCAACAGAGAGCATTGTAAATGAGGCCGGCTTCTCTGTACAACACCCGCCAGACTTTTGCTTCTATCAGTGGGCAAGTGGGAAGAAAAACTTTTTTTTAAATACGTCTGGGAAGTCAGTCATCTCACAAACCCTAGTCGCTAAAATATAAATAACACTGGCAAATGCTTACAACACCACCCTGTGGCTGCAACCCAATGTTTTTATGTAGGTCGCTTTAGGAACCACAGGGTAAAACAATGCTAACGATGTTTTTATTTTGTCCTATTATTTTAAATATTTTTTGTTACCCTTCCTCACTTGTCAGCATCTATGTTAAAGGTCCCTAAAGGCAGCCCAAAAATTAAGCACTTCCATTTGTTTTCAAGTATTGAGTTATCAAAATGGTAAAGACAGCCCCTCAGGAGCAGACTGAAGCGGTTTCTCTCGCAACACCCAGTGGTCACTGTCTAAAGAGGGGAAGTGCCTTGCCTTTACCTCAGTCTATCAGAACAGGACAAACCGAACAACATTCTAGAACTTTCACATGTAATCTTCATTTGACGAAGGAATAGAGATATAGAAAGTACATCCCAACAGAACCAGAGGTCATTAGCAGCTTCTGACTTCTCTGTAACACATCAGAAAACATGGTCTGAAGGGATGACTGTTCCAAACAAGGTACTATAGTTTAGGAACTCAAGTTCTGCAGTTCCACTTTACCAAATGGCTTTTTGGTTACGTCTGACAAATGGCAAACATTTCAAAAATAGTTAAGGGGACAAGATTTACATCCTAATTACCAATTGCAACTCCTAGCACTCTTCAGCCCTAAAATGTGCCATCACTTATTTCTCCAACCAGAGAAACATTGGGTGGGGGTTAGGTAGAGAAACAGGGGGGAGAAGAGAGAAAATACATTTATGTGAAGACAAAACACAACTACAGAACTGTCAGAGGGAAAGACAGGAAATGGACTTCAGGGAGTGTGCAAACAATTGCAGATGGGTAGAGGGGACAGGAGTGTAAAATGTTTCCTTTAGGGATGAGAGTTTGGGGGGGGGGGGGGGGGAGATTATGGACATTCTTCCCTCCCAGAGCTTGTAGGTTTTTCTGTAGTACACCCATAGCTCAGGGTGAGGGGTTCAGTATTTGAGCTTTTTGGGGACCTCCCAGGGGAAGGCCTCCCGCCCAAAGTGGCCATAGGCAGCGGTCCGCTGGTAGATAGGCTTTTTCAAGTCGAGCTCCCTGGAACACAGAAAACACAATAGTGCTGAACTGGGTAAATAAATGCACAGATTACCAGAGGGCAAACCAAGCAATCACCATTCAAATGTAGAACCCCTAGACCCATGAGGACCAGCTCCGACCCTATGGGACCCCTGATGACAAAATAGGTTACCGGCAGCCACCATTGTTCCACACTACCTGACAATGACACCAGGGCGGAGGTCAAAGTTCCTCTTGACAATGTCCAGCAGCTCCCTCTCGCTCTTCTGAGAAGTCCCATAGTGGAAGATGGAGATTGATAGGGGATGGGCCACTCCAATGGCATAGGCTACCTGACAACACAGCGACTTCTTTTTAACAAACATGATCAAGATTCACGTGACAGGTTATTGTAAAATATGCTATCTTTACTTTTCATCTCATGGTGATGCAAAACAGTTCTATGTGAATGACTCTTACAGCAAATCAAAACCTGAATCCACAAGCTGAAAATGACCACAAAACAAGACATACATAAAATTGTTAGGTTGCAGCCATTAGCTCATTCCTCACCTGGACCAGTACACGCTTGCAGAGCTCAGCCTTCACCAGGGACTTGGCCACCCAGCGGGCAGCGTAGGCAGCAGAGCGGTCCACCTTAGTGTAGTCTTTCCCTGAGAAGGCCCCTCCACCGTGGGCCCCCCAGCCTCCGTAGGTGTCCACAATGATCTTACGCCCTGTCAGGCCAGCATCACCCTGTGAAGGGGAGAGGAAGAGTCAGCCAAGGAGCCCAGGACAGCCTTGGAAATGTGTCTCTCGTGTTGACAAGAGCCTGCTTTCTAAATATCTGACGGACTATGTAGCTACTTAAATCACATCTCTCTGGATGATTGTTTTCTACGGTTTATAGAGTCTATTCAGGACAGTGGTGTACAATACATCTGTCTCACCTGAGGACCTCCGATGACGAAGCGGCCGCTAGGCTGCAGGTGGTAGATGGTGTCATCGTCCAGGTACACAGTGGGCACCACAGCCTTCACAACCTGCTCCTTCAGCGCATCACGCATCTCATCCAGGCAAATTACTTCATCATGCTGCACAGACACCACGACAGTGTGCACACGCACTGGGAGCATGGCCCCACGGTCCTGCCTGTACTGAACAGTCACCTAGAGAGGGAGACGAGGTATGAAATGTCATTCAAAGAGTACACACGTCTGACAAGGCAAGGTACTAGGATACCTGCACGTGATTGGAGATCGCTGTGCGAGTGTGTCTGAAAAGCCAGCTTCATTACAAAGATCTGAACAAGGGATTTACATGACTCGATAGCCATATTTGGAGCATGGGTGATCATAGGCTGCAGTGCTGAATCTAACCTGAGTTTTGGAGTCTGGCCTCAGCCAGGGCAGGGTTCCGTTGCGGCGCAGTTCAGCCATCTTGGCATTGAGCTTGTGGGCGAGGACGATGGTGAGGGGCATACACTCCTCAGTCTCATCGGTGGCATAACCAAACATCAGACCCTGTAACACAAAACACAGTCAAACACTTTGAGCGGGGACAAAAACAAACACTATAATACGGTCAAGGCCCAGTCACTTACTCACACACAAACACTCAAAGACAGGAGCCTTCTAACCTGGTCTCCAGCCCCCACATCCTCCTCTTTGCGGTCCAGGTGAACACCCTGAGCGATGTCAGGGGACTGCTGCTCTAGAGCCACCAGGACGTTGCAGGTCTTATAGTCAAAGCCTGTGGGAAGGGAATAGTCAAACCTTGGTGTTACTTTCTGTACCTACTAAAGCTAACCCTCTGATCTCTTAAAACCATGTTTTCAATGGAAGTGAGCAATTGAATCTAATCAGAGCAAATTCGCCATTATACCCTTGGAGGAGTCGTCATAGCCAATGTACTTGATGGTGTCCCTGACAACCTTCTGGTAATCGACGTTGGCCCTGGAGGTGACCTCCCCTGCCAGCAGGATCATCCCAGTCTTAGCTACAGTCTCTGAAGAGACACAGACAGAAAGAGAAAGCACGTGAGGGAAAGAACAGGACAAATGGAAGAAAATCAAGTGAAGGAAAGTGAGTGGGAGTGAGGTAAACATGAGCATTAGCTATTCAGGATGACGAAGGCAGGACAGAAGCAAGGGCATGTTACAGTATCAGACAGTGCAACATGGGCAAATCTATAGAAACGTAATAGGTGATTGATCATTACCACATGCCACTTTGGCGTCAGGGTCCTGCTTGAGATGGGCATCGAGCACAGCATCGCTGATCTGGTCACAAATCTTATCTGTCAAACAAGAAATGGGGGTTTTGGGGGTGTATCCTGCTACAAAAAAAGACCCCGCTGAACACTTCCCCCAGGCAGGTTATCCCTGCAAATGCAAAACCAATAACCTTTAAATGGACCAAACTTGCAACAAACCACTCAGCAGCCATTGCCATGTACATGAGCGACAGCTGCAAAGCACTACAGTAGCCACATTCCTAACAGCAATCCATTCACACCCTGGCTTGCACCCATCAGCCCTGCAAGGAGAGGTGGGCGGTCTTAGGAACCAGCCTTTACAAGACTGTCTCACCACTAGCACCATGTTGGCTTTTAATTCAATGGATTATCATATGCACTGAATTGTTACAACAGTGACTGCTTGCTCAAAGCAGTTTCTTGTGCCAAAAGGTACATCATGCGAAAGGCTGCCCACAGTTGCACTGCAGTCCCTGGTGAAGAGGCCTATATTTAGGATGAGGTAAGCCTAGATAATCAGCTGCAATGGAGCTGTCTCCCTCACCCATATGTCGAGTGAGCATTGCACTTAAACCTGTACTTGAGGGTTGTAGCCAGAAAACCTGGCTAGCTACTGTAATGCAAACAAATATAAAAACACAAACTATTTCAAAGATTTTATTTCATAAAGAAATTAATTAATTAGGCCCTAATCTATGGTTCACATGACTGGGAATACAGACATGCATCTGTTGGTCACAGATACCTTTTTAAAAAGGTAGGGGCGTGGATCAGAAAACCAGTCAGTATCTGGTGTGACCACCATCTGCCTCATGCAGTGCTGTTGATCGTGACCTGTGGAATGTTGTCCCACTCCTCTTCAATGGCTGTGCGAAGAAGCTGCATATTGGCGGGAACTAGAACACACTGTCGTACACGTTGATCCAGAGCATCCCAAACATGCTCAATGCGTGACATGTCTGGGGAGTATGCGGGCCATTTTCAGCTTCCAGGAATCGTGTACACATCCTTGCGACATTGGGCTGTGCATTATCATGCTGAAACATGAGGTGATGGCGGTGGATGAATGGCACGACAATGGGCCTCAGGATCTCGTCACGTTATCTCTGTGCATTCAAATTGCCATTGCTAAAATGCAATTGTGTTTGTTGTCCGTAGCTTATGCCTGCCCATACCATAACCCCACCATGGGTCACCAACATTGACATCAGCAAACCACTCGCACACACAACGCCATACAAGTGGTCTGCGGTTGTGAGGCCGGTTGGACATACTGCCAAATTCTCTAAAAAGATGTTGGAGGTGGCATATGGTAGAGAAATGACCATTAAATTCTCTGGCAACAACTCTGGTAGATATTCATGCAGTCAGCATGCCAATTGCACGCTCCCTCAAAACTTGAGACATCTGTGGCATTGTGTTGAGTGACAAACTAACTGCACATTTTTGAGTGGCCTTTTATTGTCCCCTGTAATGATCATGCTGTTTAATCAGCGTCTTGATATGCCACACCTGTCAGATGGATGGATTATCTTGGCAAAGGATAAATGCTCACTAACTGTGTTGTAAACAAATGTGTGCACATTTAAGATAAGCTTTTCGTGCATATGGACAATTTCTGGGATATTTTATTTTAGCTCATGAAACCAACACTTTAGATGTTGCATTTATATTTTCGTTCAGTGTAGTTAACATTAGCAAAGATAAACTGAGAATGTAGACACCGGAAGAGCAGAGCAGGGCAATTTGTTTGAGAGTACTCGTGCAACTAACTAGAGTTAGCTAGCTATAGAGATATATATACATCCCACGTGATTTGAGGTGAAAGGAGTACACCGTGGCCCCATGCTTCCATCAATCAAAATAAATCACCTACACAATTGTAGCTATAAACGCATTGCAATTAACTAAAATACACCACGGCCGGAGAACGCCGCTAACCGAGTGTCCAGATAACAACAAAACCTACTTCGCCCGCGCTCGAAGTTGCACTATGTCTGGGGCGCATGTCACGTGCACGAGCTCAGTCTACTGATGTAACACCGTTGATCGACTCGCCTAAAATGTACAAATAAATTGACTTAACGAAAATGACGTAAAATAATATGTCATATGTTCAGTTTTTCAATAAACGTACCACAGGTATCGACTTGACCATCCAGACAAGTATTTTAGGGTCACACTTTTCTCGATTAGTATTAGCTTCTAGCTAGCTAGCACCCGATCCTATGGCGAAGACACCCCGCGTGGCCTGACTCTGGCTCGTGTTCCCCACCCCATTCATAATATCCGCCGGCTCAAATATCAGCAAATGTGAAAAATAGACAAATAGCTAGCTGAGCCATACAAACAATATATTAGCTAACGTGTATGATTGTTCGTAAAAATGACTGGCAAGCATTTGGTAGCACTTTGCTGCTAGTTCGCTGAATCTAACGTTACCACATAACCTGTCCTTATGTTAGAAAATATAAAAACACAAAAGTAATGGAACTAGCTAGCTAAAATAACACAGACGCAAACTCACCTGGGTGTCCTTCTCCAACAGATTCAGAGGTGAACAAAAAGCAGTCTTCATCAATGATTGAGTTATGGAAACCGTTCACTTGCCCGTTCATTTTAAAGGAATTGTTATTTGTAGAGTATATCTAGCTGGCTACCTAGCTAAACTCACTCAACGGTAGTTTACAAAATATGATGTATCTGACACTAACTCTATTGCCCAATTTGTAAATGAGATCCTCTGTAGACTTAGCTATTTCGCCGGTGTTCTTGAAACAATCTGGTGGCGTTGATATTTATCCTTAATTTGCGTCAGTGAGGCGCGCCCCCGTGTCCTGTCTGTTTAGCCAATTACCAGGTCTAGGAGGGGCCATTGACTAAGGACACGTTCCAGGTAGTCTTTTTTTGCTTTAGTGCAGCGTACATTGAGTTGATGTATTGTTGTAAGTACCGGTATGTGGAAGAGAGGGAAAGATTGATAGTTATTGAGGTTGGAAGGGAATGGGGGGGATTTAGGGGATGGGGGAGGGTTTGATAGAAGTTAGTATATCTCTTTTTTTAATTTTCTTAGTAGTACAGGATTAGAGAGGGTTAGTTTCTCTTCATGTTTTGTTCTAAAATCATTTAGTCTGTAAACTGTGATTGAATACACACTCCAGAACAGTAGGTGGCGTCGTGCACCTATAACTTTTGTTTTGCGGACCAACATTATATTATAGAAGAAGAAGAAGAGGAAGTAGTAGTAGTAGTAGTAGTAGTAGTAGTAGTAGTAGTAGTAGTAGTAGTAGTAGTAGTAGTAGTAGTAGTAGTAGTAGTAGTAGTAGTAGTAGTAGTAGTAGTAGTAGTAGTAGTAGTAGTAGTAGTAGTAGTAGTAGTAGTAGTAGTAGTAGTAGTAGTAGTAGTAGTAGTAGTAGTAGTAGTAGTAGTAGTAGTGATGTAGCTCAGTTGGTAGAGCATGGTGTTTGCAACGCCAGGGTTGGGGGTTCGATTCCCACAGGGGGCCAGTATATATAAAAAAATATTTTAAAAATGTAGGCACTCAATAACTGTAAGTCGCTCTGGGTAAGAACGTCTGCTAAATGACGTAAATGTAGGAGTAGTAGTAGGGTTCATTATGATCTGGCTCTGGTCTGGCACAAGCAGATATGTAGTGTGTACTCGCTAGCTACTGTGTACTCGCTAGCTAGTGTGTACCATAAATATAGAGAGTTAGGCCAATGCGGTTGAACCAACAATTTTCATAAGTAACCCAAGATAGACCAGAGCCTGTCGTTTCCAATGGGAGAGGTGGGCAGAGCTAAGCACGAGCTAGTGAGATCCTATTGGTGTGTTCTAGCATTTATTTGCATATTTCCGTTAGGGAACGCCTACTCTGTGAAGTGCGCATGTGCAATAACTCAATTCGCCCTTGCACTCGCTCTAGCGACTCCTTGTGGTGGGCTGGGCGCCTGCAGGCTGACTTCGGTCGTCAGTTAAACAGTGTTTCGTCCGACACATTGGTGCAGCAGGCAGAAGTGCGATTTGGCCGGTCATGTTTCGGAGGACACATAATAAATAAATAAATTGGTCATTTAGCAGACACTCTTATCCAGAGCAATTAGGGTTAAGTGCCTTGCTCAAGGGCACATCGACAGATTTTTCACCTAGTCGGCTCGGGGATTAGAACCAGCGACCTTTCGGTTACTGGCACAACGCTCTTAACCACTAAGCTACCTGCCGCTACCTGCCGTCACATGACTTGATCTTCGCCTCTCCCGAGCCTGTTGGGGAGTTGCAGCGATGAGACAAGATCGAAATTGGGGAGAAAAGGGGGTAGACTAAAAAAATATATAATAATGTTTCATCGATGAGAAAATTAGCAGAATCTCAACCAAAATCCATCTTCTCCCACTTCTGGCCACTGGGCTTTCTCTCATCACCATATTTGGTGGTGAGTGAATAAGCCAACAGGATGCTTCACATTTCTACATCCGGTGAAATATCTGGCTCGTCCTTCTATCTGTGGTTGAACGATCTTAGAGCGCCACTTTCTCCTCCATAGCCGTTGCTAAGTGATAATTAACAATTCCGCATTGTGCTGTTTGTTTCTGATAGTTTTCCAAAACATATGAAGATGTCCAGCGAAAGCAGATATGCAATTTGTTGACACTACAACACAGTAAAGACTTGAAAACCCATTATCTCGAATGCTAACCAAAAATAATGTCTGTTAAATTCATTGCTCGGATTTGCTCGTTTACAGCAGGTCATTTCATAGGGAACTGTCGGAGGCGCTCACGTATTTTTACATCACCAACATTTCAAGAATAAAGTTCTATGTGGGTGCCAACATGGCGGCCGTTCTAAAACCTGGTCTAACTCTCTATATATGTGGCTGTGGCGTGTACTAGCTAGCTAGTGTGTACTAGCTAACTAGTTAGTGTTGTAGCTAGTGTTGTACAAGCTAGCTTGCTAGTGTGTACTAGCTAGCTAGTTACTAGTGTTGTAGCTTATGTTGTACTAGCTAGCGTGCATGTAGTGACGTAATGCTTGTTGTGACATAATGCTAGTGGGCGCAGCATGTAGTGACGTAATGCTAATGGCCTTACTGTTACAAGTACCCTCAATGGCAGTAGGCATGGTGTGAAGTGGGCACAGCATGTAGTGGGCGCGGCGTGTAGTTACTGCAGTCCACAGATAGATATTATTGCATATGTCATCTAGTGTATATATAAATCATTGGTTGATCCTGAAACTGAGCTTACTTCTTTGCCAGTGAGTGAAGTCTTCTATTAAAACCAAAATAGTGTGTGTGACAATGTATAATTGTCCCTTAAGATGATGAAGTCTAAAGAAGTCTTATTGAATTGACTTGAACTTAGTGGAAATAATGCCATAATATTCAATTTTTTTATTTAACCTTTATTTTATCAGTGAGTCCAACCGAGACAAAGGTCTCTTTTACAGATTAGTTCTCTTCTAAAGTTGAGTAAAGATGTCAGGTACAGTGCATTGGGAAAGAATTCAGACCCCTTGACATTTTCCACATTTTGTTACGTTACAGCCCTTATTCTAAAATTGATTAAATTGTCTACACACAATATCTCATAATGACAAAGCAAAAAAAGGTTTGTAGAAATAAAAAAACTGAAATATCACATTTACACAAGTATTCAGACCCTTTACTCAGTACTTTGTTGAAGCACCTTTGGCAGTGATGAAAGCCTTGAGTCTTCTTGGGTATGACGCTACAAGCTTGGCACACCTGTAATTGGAGAGTTTCTCCCATTCTTCTCTGCAGATCCTCTCAAGCTCTATCAGGTTGGATGGGGAGCGTTGCTGCACAGCTGTTTTCAGGTCTCTCCAGAGATGTTCAATCAGGTTCAAGTCCGGGCTCTGGCTGGGCCACTCAAGGACATTCAGAGACTTGTCCCGAAGCCACTACTGCGTTGTCTTGGCTGTGTGCTTAGGGTCGTTGTAATGTTGGAAGGTGAACCTTCCTGATTGGTGGAGTGCTGCAGAGATGTTTGTCCTTCTGGAAGGTTCTCCCATCTCCACAGAGGAACTCTAGAGCTCTGTCAGAGTGACCATCAGGTTCTTGGTCACCTCCCTGACCAAGGCCCTTCTCCCCCGATTGCTCAGTTTGACCGGGGGCGCAACTCTAGGACGTACACCGTCAGTTCCATCCTGGATTCGAGGCGTTGGGTGGGGGGCCTTCAGTACCTTGTGGAGTGGGAGGGGTACGGTCCGGAGGAGCGCTGCTGCGTCCCGGTGAGGCGAGCTTTACACCACTCCAGCCAACGCTTGTCATTGCGCATGGTAATCTTAGGCTTGTGCTCGGCCATGGAAACCCATTTAATGAAGCTCCCGACGAACAGTTCTTGTGCTGACATTGCTTGTGAGTGTTGCGCTTCAGCACTCGGTGGTCCCGTTCTGTGAGCTTGTGTGGCCTACCACTTGTTGCTGCTAGATGTTTCCACTTCACAATAACAGCACTTACAGTTGACCGGGGCAGCTCTAGCAGGGCAGAAATTTGACAAACTGACTTGTTGGAAAGGTGGCATCCTATGACGGTGCCATGTTGAAAGTCACTGAGCTCTTCAGTAAGGCCATTCTATTGCCAATGTTTGTCTATGGCGATTGCATAGCTGTGTGCTCGATTTTATACACCTGTCAGCAACGGGTGTCGCTGAAATAGCCGAATCTACTAATTTGAAGGGGTGTCCACATACTTTTGTATATGTTGTGTAGTTCTGACCTGCATTCAAGAACAGGATTGTCCTCAAGTCAAATCTGTAGTGGCACTATAAATATTTAGAGTTTGAGGACATACTGTTTGTGCTCTATTTTTACTGAAGAATGTGCTTATTTTTGTAGCAGACCATTTAAAAGATTATATAGATATGAATATATTTAGATATGCTTTGTATTTTCTACTTATAAAAATAAAACACAATGCTTTTTACAGAAACATTGTTTTACATTTTGTTACTGTAGTTGCTCAGGACAGGATTTAAAAACAAATGATAATCCAGTACTAATTTATAGTGAGGTTTGTAACATCAGATTATGAAAATGTGTTTTATCACGTCTTTATATACCAATAAAGCTTTACTTTTTAAATGTAAAAAAAGGTAGGCTAAATACTAAACATGATTACTGTGAGCTCTCTCCTTCTCTCTCTCTCTCTCCCTCTCTCTCTCTCTCTCTCTCTCTCTCTCTCTCTCTCTCTCTCTCTCTCTCTCTCTCTCTCTCTCTCTCTCGCTCTCTCGCTCGCTCTCTCTCACACACACACACACACAAACAGTTGTGTTTAACTAACCTTGTGGGGACACACAATTGATTCCCATTCAAAATCCTATTTTCCCTAACCATAACCTTAACCCCAAAACCTTAAACCTAACCCTAGCTCCTAAACCCAACCTTTAACCCCTAACCATAATTCTGACCCTAACACCAATTCTAACCTTAACCCTAAACCCCCTAGAAATAGCCTTTTTCCTTTTGGGGACTAACAACATGTTCCCAGTTGGTCAAATTTTTAGTTTCTTTATTATTCTTGCAGCTTGTAATGCTTAATCAAAATATTATCTCAAATAGTTATGCCTCTCTCACTCACTCTGTTGCGTGTGCACAC